CACAAGCGCAGTTGCTCAACAGCTCGATACCCGTCCTGCCGTATTACACGCTTCACCGAACACTCCCGAGATTCGCGGTTGTACCGGTAAACGCCCATTTCCCGTCGCGGGCCTTTGCTTCCTTTGCGGCCGGCCTCCCGTCACCGTGTTTTTTCTTCTTTTCCTCCTTGCTGCACAACTACGCCATTATCCAGCATTGCCGAGCCGGAGGAGAACGCCCACCCACGGCCAACCAAGCGTAAACCAGGCTTCAGCCCGGCGCTATTACTGTCGCGTCCCGCTGCCGCCATACACGCTACTCGTCAGTTGCATTGTGATGCCGTCACCGTTGACCAGACTCCATGCAGACACCCCTGCCCCTGTCCGTATCCATACTGTATGTATGTAGGGATGGAGTCCGTCACTCGTTCAGCCAGTCGAGTGCACCTATCAAGGCCGTCTTATTCGTCCGTTGCCCTCGCTTGGACAGTTGGAAAACCACCGAAGACGGTGAAATTGGAAACCGGAACCACATTTCGCTCAAACAAAGAGCAGACAAACGACAAGTATGAGGGATGGGCAGAAGGGGGGCATTGGCTTGCATACGGAGGCCTGATCCTTGTCCAGTAATATGAGGGTAAGAGCGTTTGATGGAAGGGGAAAGGAAATCAATGGATTAGCGTGACTGGCCAACATGAGCACGCAAGTGGATTCAAGGAATAACGCTCACTTGCTAATAATCAATCATACATTCCTCAATCCTTGGACTTTTGTTTCATCCTGCGGTGCTTGAATGCGCCGGTTGGAAAGGTAGGCGGTCTTTGCAATTGTGTCTTTTTCTTTTCCCATCCGTGCCCTCATAAATCCCTCATCCCGTCGTACTTTTGAGTCCTCCATGGGCCAGCATTCTATCTGCTACTCGGCCAATAGGCGGGATACCCCGATACCAAAGCACTTTAAACCAAACAAAGCAAACTCGAGCTTGATAGGCTGAGAGCGCTTTATTGAAGATTAACAAAGAGGCCGCCGTCGACCAGCAACTGCGCGCCAGTCACATAACCACTCAGGTATTCGCAGGCTAGGAAGACGGCGGGCCCGGCGAGGTCGGACGGCACGCCGGTGCGGCCCAGTGGAATGCGGCCCTCCGTGTAGGCCCGCTTGGCATCGTCGGCCAGGTCCTCCTCGTTGAGCTGTGTCTTGATCGTACCGGGGAGCAGAGCATTGCAGCGAATATTGTACTTTCCCAGGGCAACGGCAGTGCTCTGCATGAGGCTGAGTACACCAGCCTTGGTTGGGGTGTAATGGGTCTGCTGGCCGCCACCGACGAGGGCGGAGATGGACGAGATGCCAATGATGCTACCACCGGCGGGCGATTGCTGGCTCATCTGGCGAGCGGCTGCCTGTACGACATAGAAGGCGCCGTCGAGGTTGGTACGGACTGTCTTGGTGAACAGGTCCGGAGTCAGCTCGAGAAACTCGGCAAATGTGCAGATGCCAGCATTGGAGACGCAGATGTCTAGACGGGCGTTGCCGGAATGCTCGACGGCACGCGCTACCAACTTTGCTGCCGTCTCGGGCTCGCGAACATCACCAATTATATCGGCCAGACGACCCGCGTTGGGGTTCTCTTGCTTTGCAGCAGCGGCGTCGGCAACGAGAGCATCAAGGTGGGGCTGGTCCTTTTCAAGACCCAAATGGTTTACGACAACGTTGGCACCCTGCTTTATGTATTCCAACGCAATAGCCTTTCCAATGCCAGTGGTGCCGCCCGTGATGATGGCAGTCTTGCCAGCAAGCAAGTTCGTCGGGGCCATGGTGCACAATGTGAAAATATAGCAAGCTTTCTTGAAAAGGAAGGCTGTCGTCGATATATAGGATGTCGAAATGAGGTCGTGTGCGGGGTTGCCTTGGACGGCACGGCGTCGATACAGATCCTGGTAATTGGATCAGCCAAAGAAAGGACCAAGCGGTGAACGATTGGCGATAGATGGCAGACGATTGGCGAGTGATCGTGTTCGTCTGTAAATCCGTGGTAGGCTTCGCTCGTGCTCGTGCGTGAGGACGGGTGGTCGGCAAGTCTATATTTGTAGTTGACGATACATGCCTGAAAGAATTCTGGTTGGTGCGGAGGAGGCGGGACAGAGCTGTGAGGACGGAAGGGGGGGTTATTATGCAGCGAGGGCGGCTCAAGTGAGACCCGATGACCGAGCCACGACTGCCGCCCGCTCCAGGAGGTGCCTTCCGAGTCCCACGATACCTACTCGGGGGGAGAGAGTTGGGGGATCTTAGGTAAGGAAGGCTGCTTGTACGTATTCATTTGTGACCCCGGGGCAGCTGCCGATGACAGACCCCTTCCGTGACCTGCGTGAGACCGTGGCACGCGTGGGTACCCTTTTTATTCGGAATTCCCCATGACTTGCGGGCATCCCACTTTCCACCCCGCACTCTCGGTCACAATTATAGCGAGCCTCACCCCACCAACCACCATGTTGACCATATTGCGTATCCATCCCACCTGAGATGCTTTATGCTCTTCCCAGGGACGGTGTTTCCTCTGTGGTGTTTGTGATTTCGTCACTCCGCCCTCACTGCCTCCCAACTGGTTCCTTTCTCTTAATGATACACATCGAGGATGGGAATCGTAGGCCAAGCTAAACATAGAACCCCCACTCTCCGTGTATGTCGCGCACGGCTCCGCGAATCTCAACTTCATCGCCACAGATCAAGTCGAAGCCTTTGGTTCCGATACATTTTATGAGTAATCCCGAGGGTTTCTCTGCGGCCGTAAGGCAATTAATGATCATACTATTGCATCCTTAGCCTTGGTTACAGAGACAACAAATCCAGTTCGTGATGGTCACCAACATTCCATGTAGCTGCTGTAAACGTTGTCATAAATCTATTTTACGTGGTAGCTAAGCATACCAGCTGATTCGCCATGTACATTGCGCCAATAAGTCATGTCCAACACCGCTACATAGTTGAACCCAACCGCCCCGGTCTAAGTATTCCCAATAGCCGTGCAAGTGGCATGCTATTTTACTTCGACGATGTCACGGGCCTTTAAATCTGGCCGCAACATCATGCATAAAGTTGCTGTTTAGTTCGCCTCCGTCTCCTCCACCGACTTGAGGGGCCTCTCCTACGCAGTTGTTAGCACATCTGATAACACAATGATTTGCGACTTTCTGTCCACTTACGGGGCTGGCATTCAACAGGGCCTTGCCCGAGATCAGTTTTGACCTGACGGCGGGGTTGAGCGTCAGACCGAAGCCGGGCTTGTCAAGATCAGCCGTCGTCAGGAAGCCCTTTGTCGGGATGGGCTCGTCGAGGAACAGGTCGCCGAAGACGGGCAGAACGCTCTTGCCGTCGGGCGAGTTGGCGAGGTACTCCTGGAAGGGCGTGTTCGGCTGCGAAATGACAAAGTGGTAGCTGTAAGGGCCACTGGCGTGAGGCACAACAGGGATGTCGTATGCTGAGGCCATGGCAGAGACCTTGAGCAGTTCCGTGAGGCCACCGAGCCACATGACATCGGGCTGGATAATATCCAGGTTGCGTCCCTCAATGAGCTTGCGGAATCCGAATCGAGAGTACTCGTGCTCGCCAGTGGTGAACTTGATGGTGGGGTGCGCGCGCTTGATTTGCTCAAAGCCGTCCGTGTCATCGGGCGACAGACACTCCTCCCACCAGTTGATGTTGAGGTCCTCACAGGCCTTGACAATTTCGATTGTGTAAGACACATTGAGACTCATGTAGCAGTCCACCATAATGGGGAAATCGGGCCCAACGCTTTCGCGGTGCTTGCGAAGGAACTCGACGTTCTTCTTCAGGCCGGCGTGGCCATCCTCTGGGCAGTACGGAAGAGGGACCTTGCCGCCCCAGAAGCCCATCGTCTTGGCTGCCGACGGTTCGGGGCCAGTGCAGTAGAAATCCAGGCGCTCCTTGGTGGCGCCACCAATGAGCCTGTATACAGGCTCATTTCTCACCTTGCCAAGCAAATCCCAGATGGCGAGATCGATGACGGAGATGACGGCAAGAGGAAGACCCTTTCGGCCATAGAACATGGAGCCTCTGTACATCTGCTCAAACAGCAGGTTTGTGTTTCGGGGATCAGCGCCGATGAGGAAACGCTCAAAGTGCTGGTGGACGAGCCAACACGCCGGAGGACCTGCGCGGGATTTGGTCAGCAAAGTCTTCCTCAGCCATGTGCTCTCGTATTATGTACAAGACTACGCACCTCCAAAGCCAGTAGCAATGCCGACAGTGCCGTCTGTCGCTTCGATCTCGATGAGGAATGAGCCCAGGACGTTGATGCCCCAGCTAGTTCTTGAGTTACGGTACTGCTCCCATCGCGAACAGGGAGTGGAAATGGGGCTGTCAATCAGCCTGTTTATTGCATTGTTAACTCATGTCGTTCTATGTGTGACGAGGCTCATTCAGAGCAGCGCTACAAACGTACCAGTGGCCACCCTTGACATTGTGGTAATCACCGCCGGAACCAACGCCGCCAATGACGAACGTCCGAATCTCCTTGATGGAGGGGAAAGATCTCACGGACGCCATTTTGTTGCCTCCAGAATCCGCGTCTGCCAGTGTAGTGAGCAAGGAAGGGGAGGAAAGAGGGGGCTTTTGAGAATGCGCAGGTGAGACACGGTATGATGATGGAGAGAGCAAGTGAGGGGGAACGGAGGGGGATTGGGTTTATGGGCGTCTTTTAAGAGGGACGGAAGACCACTTGTCGCCGGGATTCCAAGACATGTGAGCGCAGTGAACAAGACAGGAGTAGAGGAGCCATGGCGACCGAATCGGACGAAAGTCCACGTTAGTGGGGTCTAGACACAGCAGATTCAAAACGAGTCGGCTCGGAGCCAGACTGCTTTGTGCCATTGTGGTGGACGGTGGTGGACGGGAAGGTTTTGGAGATCGGCAGCAGATGCACCGACAGGCGGAAACAGGGGCAAGGCAGTGGGTTACGGGAAAGGACCCCTCCCCCTCATCCAGTCCCCATCTGCCGGCCTCGGATGTCGGGTGTCAATGACATGGCTTTTCCTGAGGCTTTCAGACTTGTGAATAGTCTAAAGCGAAGTAAGAAACACCGTGAGACAAAAATATACGGGCGTTCGAGGACCATCAAACAGTGGATGGGCACTTGGGCACGTTTATTGTGCACCAGCTACGATGATCAATGCTTCATACACATACAGCACGAAAAGGGAAAATCGTGCGTAGATTACACCTCAATTCTCTAATGGCTTCTCGCTTAGTCTCCGGCCAGAACCGATGACACGAGGGCACAGGGCCAATCGGACAATTCTGGGCGTTGGACTGGCTAGGCCAAGTGTCTACTGCAAGCATTGCTGCAGTCATTGAGTCGTCAATGAGTTGAGGGTGTGTGTGTTGGTTGTGTGAGAGGGCGCATGGTGATGGACAAGATCACCGTGGGGGCACGGGGGGAGTATCTCTCTCGTCTGGGGGTAACGAGCAGGCCAATTCAGTCCCATAGTTGAGTGTATCCGCACAAACATAGGCACTCAGTAATTGACTTTGGAGGCGGTGGTGAAGCGCACAATCCCGGTTGCTCGGGACGGGAGAGGCCGTAGCTGCGAAGGCTTGTGGCACATTACCTTATACCATGGGCTAGCTAGCGTATGGTCCAATGGAAGGTATGTACGCAAATAATGCCATAATGGCTATCTTGACTCTTGAATGTTTACTTTTTCCCCTCTCGCCTCTATTTTGTCGGTACCTAGGTTCTACGGTGGTGAAGTTCGTGACTCGGTCAAGCTGTATCCCAGCAGTATCAAACTGCACGCGATTCCTCTTTTCAAGTACCCACCGCTGGTTACGGGCGACTTCGGAGACGTGGGATATCTTTGCCCGAGAACTGCACCGAATTGCCCGATGTGGGTCCTACTCTTGCTGGTCCGAGGCATCGCACGCTTTCTCGTCGAAATTCCTCTGCCTCATTCCATCTTGCCTTGCTCCTCTCAAAACATTTTCCTCCGAAGCACGTTACATAAGACATCTTACCTAAGGTCGGAGGTAGGCCGACAGTGAGAGCCAACATAATCAATCGAGCAGTGAGCGCAGAGAGCGTGGCACCTGGAAGATGAATGATAACTGAAGAGGCTGTTCATTGACGCAGGATAGTCAACCTGATATGACTGATACTGTATGGATGGAATCCGAGGCTGTACAGAACAAAAGACTGAGTCTTGTTTTGTGTTGGTCTGTGGTAGGTATTCACATTAACATACTTAATTTCTTCTGCGGCGTGCCATGGTGACCGTCTCACATTATTCAAAGTACGTACCGATGTCTGGGCCCACAGCCACCTCCACACTCTGGAGTCTGCTGTGGCTGGGTGTGGGATGTCTCATCCAATGAAAGAGACTAATTCATCCCGCACATTCCAGTCCCGAAGGTTTCATTGGATAAAAGCGTCCCAAGGACGGGGCACCTCGTTGAGCCTCGGAAGGTGCCAATCTGTCAGCGATTTCTCCGCATTTTCGTCGCTCTCGTGCGGGCAGTGGTGCGGGCAGTGGTGCGTGCGTGCCTGCTTCCTTCTTCTTCCCCACACAATCCATTTTCGATTCGGCCGCCCCCAACCGCCGGCAACATTCGCTCTCTACCTGTCGCTTCATCCCGCGTTCTTTCTGATCTTGTCTTGCGCCTGATATTATAGTGGTCGTCAATTTGCTGAGCTGCCAAGGGCGAGCGCTCTCTCACAAAGACCCTCTAGCACGGAAATCGCGTCGTCGCCTGACGTTCCTGGGCCCTTCACGTTGTCTTGACAGCTCGTTCCTAAGGTATCATTTCCGGGTGACACCGAGTACCTACGAACGTGCTTGTTGTTGTAATCTGTTCCCGCAGCCCACGCGTACAGGAACCATAACGAAAGCAGACCAAAGAGAAAAACGACTACTAGGGACCAGACTCCGTGTTCTGCATTAAGCTTCCCAGTTGCGAGGCAGTAGTATCAATTTATCTATCCAAGGTAGCCAAGAATTTATACGTCTACACGCACCTGGGGTAAGCACCGCAAGGTAAGGTACCGTACCTTCCTTTAGCCCATTGGGACAGTATGTTCAGCTCGTCAGGCCCATCCCTCTTTCCCCATCTCTTCCAGTCCAATTAAATCCCATCCCGGTCACGTATTTCTAGCTCATCCTCTCCACCTCCGCTTCCTTCCCCTCCCCCGAACTTGCTTCCCCGCCCCCTTCCTTGTCGTTCTTTGTCTCGTGCAGTCCTTCTTGGTGCCTGTCCAACAGTCTGGACTCTCACTGGAGTGTGGCACGTGTGGGACAGAAAAAAAAAACACAAAAAAAAATACCCCGAGCCTCTTCTTTCCCGACCCCAGCCTCCGGTGCCCTTTTTTTTCTCCCACCCTCTGCTCAACATTAACCCGAGATTCCCAAGCTTCTCCCGAATCCGCGCGTTGGAATCTCGCACAAACGCCTGCGACTCCAACTCATACGCACGCCTACGCGTTCGCCTTCTATCCGTGTGTGTGTGTGTGTGTGTGTGTGCGCGCCCGCCCGACCCAACCATTCGGCTCTGTGCCTGCGTCACACTTGCTCTTCAGATACACATCTCTCGGCCTTGTTTTACCCTTCCGCCAGCCATTGCTCGGAGACTGCCACACCGAGGATGCAGCACAACGGTCACTCCCTCAGCAGCCGGTCACCGCCTGCAGCTAACATCAAGTCGATTCAGCACAACCGTAGCCAGAGCCATGACCAAAATCAGTCTCATAGCCAGGACCAGGACTCTGACGACGGCAACCAGCTGCAAAGCGGAGACGAAAACGATCTTGACCAAGACGATCAGGATGTCACCCGCCTTGGGAAGCGCAAGAGACCCATATCTGTCTCGTATGTCGTTCCCCGTCCTAGCTCATCCCACCTTACCTCTCACCCCATGCCATGCCGCTCACTCTCACTCAACCCTATCACGCCTCACTCATCTCAACTCATATCAAACCCGGCTGCTTGGGTGCCTTGCTCCCTCTATCCACTTGCTCACCCACCTGTCTCTCTCCCTCCCCTTTGCCCAGTTTCTTGTCTTTAATTGCCCTCTTTGGGCTTTGCCCCCATGTCCCTCGAACCACCATCGCCTGAACCCGTGCCTTCCGAGCAGAACCCTGAAGCTAACAATCCAACTCCAAGATGCGAGCTATGCAAGCAGAGAAAGGTTACACGAAGTCCCTTTTCCTTTCCGTCTCTCTCTTCCTTTCTACCTGAACCTCAGTTTCCCATTATACCCTATCACTGTGTCATGCGTAACTCGTTCACAAGCCGAGAAGTCACGAACTACTCTCAGAGATATCCTCTTTGTTCTTCTCTTCTTGCGCCTCAGATGACCTGCTTAGCTCTAAACCTGGAATCTGTGGCTGACTCGCCTCGACTGAGTAGGTGAAATGTGACCGAGGACAGCCCTCCTGCGGCTGGTGCAGCCGCAATGGAGCCTTGTGCGAGTACAAGGAGCGCAAGAAGCCCGGCCTCCGTGCTGGCTACGGCCGCGAGCTGGAGCAGCGACTAGACAAGCTTGAGGAGATACTCAGAACTCACTCTGAGATTCTCCAGGCGACTCTGACATCCAATCAACACCACGGCGTAGCCCCAAGCATTCGGAATAGCAATCCAAGTCTGCCGAGTGATCATGGCACACCACGAGAGACCAATGCCTTGTTTAGGCCATCTGAGTCCCATCGAACGCCGCAGGCGGAAACGGCTCTCTTCCTTCAGAAACCATCATCTTACCCCTCAACTTCACAATCTATGGAGTTCGGAATGCCGCCTCCCACCCCATCCATGCACGAGTTCCAAGGTCAAATGCCCATGACCAGCATGGCTGCACCCCCAAGCCATATCACTGCCATGTCACACCCTAGCAGTGCGGCACAGGAATATTACGGCACAAACCAAACGCAATTACATTCTCCAGATGTTGCCATGGCACAAAGTCAGGCGTCAACGGCGCCAGACCAGGAGCTGCCGCCCTACGACCTGCTTTATGCCCTCGTCGATCTTTACTTCAAGCACATCAACACCTGGTGTCCTATTCTGCATCGAAAGACGACCCTGGATTCTTTGTTTGGCCCATCCACCCTTGAAGAGACAGATCGTATTCTGCTTCATGCCATTGTTGCCACAACACTCCGATACTCTACTGACTCAAGACTGACCGAGGAAAGTCGGCAGCATTACCATTCCATATCGAAGCAGAGGGTCTTGCTCTATGGCATGGAAAATTCCTCTGTTAAGGCCCTTCAAGCCTTAGTAATTCTTGCTCTGGATCTCGTCGGTAGCAGTAATGGCCCCCCTGGTTGGAACATTATGGCCCTCATTACTAGGTCAGTTGTTCAGCTCGGGCTGGCCGTTGAGAGCACTTCCTTTTCAGTCTCGCCAAATTTTACCTCCATTTATACACTGAGGGCCATGATTTTACCAGAACCCAAGGACTTCATCGAGGAGGAATCTAGGCGGCGGCTCTTTTGGATGATTTACCTTCTCGATCGGTATGCTACTCTAGCCACTGCCTTCGAATTCGCTCTGGATGACAAGGAAGTTGACCGGACCTTACCGTGCCGAGATGATCTATGGATCAAGAATCAGAAAGTTGAAACCCGATGGTTTAGGACCCAGGACCATTCTGAGGACACGAATCCTGAATACGAGATCAACAAGCCAGAGAACCTCGGTGCTTTCTCATATTACATAGAGATCTTGGCAATACTGTCCAAGATTCACAAGTTCTTGAAACAACCCGTCGATATAAGCGCTCTCAGCGACGTGGAGCAATGGCAGATGCGATACAAGGAGCTCGACAACATGCTCACATCCTGGAAGTTCGGCCTTCCTGGGGAGTATGGCAATATGGCCAAGTTATTCCAGCCCGGTAATAAGACGCTGAACTGCGGCTGGGTGATGCTGCATGCAACATACCACACGGCTGTGATCCGACTGCATTCATCGGCGGCGTATCCGACAACTCGTTCGCCAATTTTCACCCCCTCATACAGTGCCTCGCAGCGCTGTCACGGGGCCGTCGAGAACATTGCTGCGCTGGGTGAATTCGTCGTCAATAATGGCCTTTTGGCAAAGCTAGGCCCTCCCTTCGCATTCACCTTATGGGTAGCCTCGCGTCTGTTACTAGTCCATGGGTCTACCGTTGAGCACAAGCTCTCGCCTCAGATTCAATTCTTTGTCGAGACACTACGCGAAATGGGACGCTACTGGCCTGTAGCTGCGCGATACTGCGGCCTCTTGCAACGTGTTCTGGATGAACATCGCGACAGTGAGCGTCAAGGGGATGGTGTCACGCCCAGTTCAGTTAAGATACTAGCCGACATGCGTCGCACAGCGTTTGACCTCGACTTCTTGATATCCCGTCAGCCCCGTGCCAACGGTATGCCAAATCACAGCCGGCTTCCCAGCGTCACACCAGCCAGAACACCAGCACCAAATGAGCTCGAGTACCTGGACGTATTCGACTTTTTCAACGTGCCACGCCTACCCGCTGGCAACGAGATTCAGCATGGCATGAGCGGCAGTAACGGGCAGAACGGGACCACGTCGGGCATGGATGCTAGTAGTGAAAATGGCGGATCCAATGCGCCACCAGCCCCGGGCAACGAGTTCAACATTACGAATTTCATGGTTGATGCCAACAGTGATTGGCTCTTCAAGCAGGAGGGTGCCAAATTTCTTTCATGAGCGGGGTAGTAGTGCCACGACGAGGAGACATTCGTGAATAGGGTCCTGAGCGTGGGTGCTACTTTACCGGGTTTATTGGGGGCATCATTTACGTAGGAGCTTAGCAAAGTCTCCCACTTTTGCATTCGACTTAGCGAACTTTACTTTTGAAATGGCATTTGGAGGCTTGTATGATCATGATGGACTTCACGGAAGGATGAGCGTGAGTGAAAAAGAAAACTAGGGCTGTCATACTAGTGAGGAAGATGAGGATGAACAAGCAGTCAGTGGCTTGGGGACGATGTCTCGGAGGACAATAATGAGAAAAAGAGGATGACATGAAGCACTGCCACCTAGTCTTGAACGTTGCTCTGTGTCCATGTTTGTTTGACCCACGTCCTGCATCACAGGCCGCGTCCCGGCGGGCCGTTCGGCCTCTCGCATGAGGTAGGTACCAGGCAGCGCTAGCCGCCTTGGACACACCAACCCCAGCTGAATGCTGTGCGACTTATCAGCTATTGAAGTGAGCGCTGAGAATGTCGGTAGAATCCAATCCATTTCTATAAACCAGTAGATGTGAGAGGACGTATGACATAGAGTATTGCCCGCAACTAAGATAAACGCCATATGATTATAGGTAATCTACAATGATGAGGAGTATGACGATACTGTTTGGTGCGTTATCTTTAAGCATTGGTATAACCACACAGAAAATTTTATTGAAAAGACTAGTGAGGATCACGATGTAACGGAAGTACATGCGAGACATCAGCAAGCTTGATGATCTGGCTGAACCGCCTGACCACCACCGTATGTACATATTGCTATGGGCCATATGGACAAACTTCAAGCATAATGGAAATGGTTCCAGTGATCAAGCTCGCTGTTTCGGATCGCTAGCCTAGAGTTGACCTCGGAGGTATACATAGCCTATGGTATGACTATGCCGGTGGTGATGTAGCGGCTGCTTGGGTCTTCGATGAAGCAGTATCAAATGTGCAATAGATTGAAACCATCGTTGACCAGTGGTCGGCGATTATCACAGATACAGACTCAATGAACCACTGCTGTGGACAGGCAGCAAGGAGCATCTCAAATAGATCTGCAAAACCATCACATTGCTCAGCCTTATGAAGGGTTAGATAAGGTTTGCTCTTGTGCCGAGATTTGTTCCGGATACGAGAGCAGTGACTAGATTCATAACTGCAGGAAGAGGCAACTTCATAATTTGCCATGATGAACCAAGAAGTAGCAGAACGAATAGAAGAGCGAACGCAAGAGACAAAGGGTATTGATTCATTATGTGCACGGTTTTGAGCACCTTGCAAATTGCTACCAAACCGAGGAATATTAAACCTCACGCGACAAATAGCAGACATATGCGCCACCAACGCCCCGTCATGAGACGCCTTTTCCAAACGCTCGTTGTAAAATCAGAATGCTAATTCAACTAGGTCACCATTCTCTCAACCGCAGCAGACACTTGGCTCCTCAATTCCAACAATGTTATTGGGAGCTGCGGGTGCCAGAGCCTCCAGAGTGACACGAATAACAAGCCAATCGCAAAGGAATTTGCCCAAGCCAGCGCCGATTATGATAGAAATGATGAGGTAGCCATTGTAGTACATGGCCAGCAACATGACGATGTATGCCAATCCAAAAGTCGCGGCGTGAATTACAGATCGGATGAGCTGCTGCAGTGGCGATGCACGGAAGACAAGCGTCTGAGGGGCGACAACAGTGGGAGGTTCGCAGCAGTCCGTCTCCTTGGGCATACGAGCTTGTAGTTCGGCGGCGCGGGCATGGAACTGGCGCTGGATGAGGGCGTCGTATTCTTTTCCGAGTCGTCGGAACACTTCGAGGAAGACGGTGAGCAGACCGACACCGATGCAGCTAGCGGCGAACATGCCGGCGTTCTTGATCTGCCATGAAGATGCGAGGAAACCTATCGCATCGGCTCGTTAGCTTGTTTTCCGAATGTGTGGGCTTACAGCACAATGCTGCACTGTGCCTCGAGAAGATACTCTCATTGTACTTACATGCGTCAATGGTATACCAGTTCCACAACATCTAGTCGTTATATTAGATGAGCACATGTACTCGGAGGCCGCGGACAGTAACACACCGACATCTTGCAGTCTGTTGAGCTGGCCATCGAACTGTGGTCCATAATGGGCTAATTTGGCAAGCCAGAAGCTTGTATGCGAAGGGAGAAGAGACAGGGTTGAGCGACCAAAAGCAGGGGAGCCTGGCGTTGAATGAAGCTATTCAGAGTAGCAAAGTCGATATGGGTTGAGGCGTCGCAGGTACGATTGGACGGAATGGGATACGATTTGTTGAGGCGGTCGATGGAGACGTTCGTTGACGAGGGCGATTGAGCAGCGATGTATTGCGAATGGTAGTGAGGACTGGTTCGGGTTGAGAGCGTTGGAGTGAAGTAGAGCGCTGGCAGACGTAGAGATAACTCCAGCAGGCACCCCGCAGGTCGCTCGCGCCGGAATCGCTTGATATCTATACGGGCTGAAGACCCGGAGTAGGCCTGGAGGCTGGATGGGTGTTGGGTGGATATGAGAGAGTTGAATGAACGTCCCACAGGTACAGGGTCAGCACGGGCCGAACACTCAGCGATTGCAGGATTGTAGAAGTGACAGGGACCCGGAGAAGAGGGAAATGGCACACATAACGCAAAGAGAGGGCAAAGAAGGTGTGCGGAGGGGGATGTCACTACTTATGGGTTAGCGCAGATATGGCTGGCAGATCCTGGTCAGTCAACGGCAAAGGTAGTGCTGCGCAGGTTTCAAGAGGGGTCGGCATGGGACATGAGCATGGAGGGATTGAGTAAGGACTTTAGGAGCGTCTGTTTCCGCTGCTGACGATTCAAAGGGTTCCACTCATGCTGCCTTAGTCAACCGAAAGGATGTTACGATGGTATGGAAAGGTTGGGCGTTGGATAGTTGGCGTATATCCGAATTACGACAGCAGACCCTCTATCTTGCTCACGCTAATCTGGCCTCAGTGTTTGCCAAGGGAAACAGAGTAGGAATAGACACCATTAGCAACTTACCTGGTCTTACCTAAAGCTGCTGGATAGCAACAGACTGGGAATGTGTCTTTCCGGAAATGACTCGAATCTTTTTGCCACCGGATCAAGTCAGATTAACCACAGGCCATTGTAATATGCGACTCGATACTATGTCTTTGACAACGATACTTGCTGAAGACAATCAACGCAACCCCTTCAAGGGAATCTTGAGTGAAATGGTTTGAGTTTTCTCTTGAGTTGCACAATAAGATATCTCGGGTGTTACCCATTATGTCCATAACGCTTTCGGCGTTCAGTTGTTAACTTGACCGTCATCGCAAAAGCCACCCGACCCGAGGGCGGGTCTCCCGTTTTCCAGGTTCCGCTGAAATCATCTCGGGTGAGCGTTCAGCCTGTTGGGCCAGCCCTAGAACATACCTTATTGAGGTTTGCCCGCCCTGCTGGGAACAACGACTCGATGCCAAAAGAGGCAATGGCTTGGACAAGCTGGAGATGATCCTTCACAGCATCAAGAGATATTGGTGAGATGACTGGTGGTAGTTCGGGATGAGGGGAAACATGGCAGGAAGAGCCTTGACGGTCCCGAGAGCCGCGCCGCTCCTGCAGCCCGGCCCCATACGCCACGGTGGATCTCGTAGTTAGGTTCCCACGCGAGACCCCGGCTCGGATCCACTTTCTAACAGAAACTTGCTCAAAGATGCTCAACTTGCTCACTCCTCTTCTACCACACGATCATAGTTTCCGTGTTTTACAACATCTTCACAGCACTGTCGCTGACTTTCACCCGGCTTATGTTGCCCGTTTTGTTCATAGAATACTACCTCACTGAGCATTTGATCCCTCGATTCTCCTAGTCCACATGGCCATTCTGCCACTTTCTAAAGAGTCCTTTCGCTATGGGTCTCCAGAAGTTCACAGTTCCGGCTCATTCCCCGCTAATGTGCTCCAGAAACCAAACCAAGAACCCTTGTTCCTTTTGCGAATAGCAGATCTCCAACCTGGCCAGCCCCTCCCATCGCCCTCCAGAACTGGGGAGTAATTATTGCCTTGGCCAGACTCAGCGCAGCCATTCTTGATGACACAGAAACTTGCTCAAAAAGCAACTGTATAAGCGGGTTTCAATATGGGGATTCTCTTTAAGAGTGACACCAGTGGCCCCGTTGCCCTCCTTCCGGCTCCAAACATCGCGGAGCCGCCCCAAACCCGGAAACATTACCAAGACCCCTAGATTAACTAGCCACCTTCGCAGACCCCATAACCCGCCGTAAAGACGTCCCGGAAACCTTCTCAAATCCCGCCCGGTCCCGTTTCTTCTTCTCGAATGATGATACTACCGGTACACTCCATCCTCCGTGCCACACCATCTTCCCCTTAAGAGTCTCTGCCTCGCTGGCTGCCGTTTATCTACATCTGCTCTCATCATCTACCATACAGTCCCCCGACTTCTTTTTACGTTGTCCTTCACATTATCCTCGGTCCATATCGCAAGATCTAGTATTCTTTGCTCCCGGGAAGCTCATGACCTTGATGTTGTACTGAGACCGGCACTTCAACGGCACTTATAATTACATCCACCATCTCAACCACATGCGCACACGCATCTCTTTCAAAGTAGATTACCCCCAGAAAACCGAAGTATCAAGACGGCGCTGAGCGCTGTCGAAAGATACAACCCGACCCTCGGTCGACTCTCACATCTGGTCTTCTCACAGCACCTCCAAGAACACCATGGATTCTCAACTCAAATCTCAAGTGGCGGCACGCCACATCCAGAACTTGAGCGATGCCACCACGATAGAGCCTCACTGGGGCTACGTGGATCGGGCCCTTCCATGTACCAACGACGCCGGGTCCTGCGCCTATCTGGATGTTGTCTACGCCTCTCATGATTTAGGCATGCTATACGTTGGTATTTTGTGGGCGGTTATTGGCGCCATCTTATTGTTATGGGCCGTTGGTCGACGGTCATTGCCGTCTC